TGAGATTCCGTGTGTTGCATGACGATAAACATGGGTGTCTACACCCAATATTAGGCTGCTATTTAATTATGTTGGATATCTTGTTAAATGCATTGTAGATTTATGAATGCTATATTATGTATTGGTTAGTAAATGTTGGATATATCTCCTAAAAGAACTCTAGGAAATGACTTGAATGGATTAGTGGCAAGGTATGCCATAAGTATAGTATGTTAGAGTCATGTGGTACCTGCTGGGTCCAATGGCTATTCGGGTAAAGACGTGTGCACGTGGGATCCATGAACTATCGTTCTGAAGGGGACAGGGGTCTCACCCACCCAACGAGAAAGTTCCAAGTTGGTTTAGAGCTTGGCCTTCGTTTTGAAAGGGAAGGTCATGACTCCCATAGAAAAATATAGAGATAGGCCGTATATTTAGATAAGGTAATGTGCCCGGTAAGTAGACAGAATTAGAGCTAGTATAGGTCTTAACCTAGCATAGGTTATGAGGCCAGTAAAAAGGATAAAGTCAGGTGATCAAGTAACGAGAAGGTAATATTCTATGTTTGTTAATGTTGAACGTTGTTATTTCATGACTGTGATGTTATGTATGATAGGCTTATGGGCATGATATCATGTGATAATCGTGAATTAGTGGATTCACGTATGTATATGTTCGAACTGTTGGATATTTCTCCCTCAGCTTCGTTGATGAGCGTGTAGCTTCTATTTCCCCTTTGTTACACGTAGGTGCTTGTGGAAGATCGATTTTGGAATCCATCCCGAAGAGCAGCATGACGAAGGAGATGTACGGATGCAGAAGTTTAGAAAGGTTGGAATTTTATTAAATTATAGCTTCAGCAATATTTATATAAACTCGATATGTATTTAAATTGTTTTAAACTGTTTGTGTTTAAATTAAATATTTTTATTTATTGGAAAATATTGTATGTGAATACCAATTCAGTAGCAACCCAGTTCTCTAACCTGTTTATTCGGGTTACACGGGTTATGGTGTTATAAAAGTAATCAAGAGGACCCAAATCTTTTTTCTTAAACTCTCCGCACATTTGAGTTATAAACTATTAAACAAGCATAGGTGAGCTTCCAGTAACACTTATTTCATGAACACATACAAGCAAAATCAGCATACAAGTCGACCCATGACAAACAAAGAAACTAGTATCATGCTTGTTTTTATGGAATTTATACGCATGCAAAAAGGCTGAGAGACGCTCATACCAAGCCCGAGGTGCCTATTTTAGTTGATAAAGGGAATTGACAAGCTTACAAACATGATTTGGAAACTTGTGATCAACATAGCTAGAAGGTTGAGCCATATAAATATCTTTATCAATTTTACCATGTTAGAAGGCATTCGAGACATCCAACTTTCAAAGCGGCCAATCATAATGAAGAGCAAGAGTAAATACAATAAAAATAGTCTGTTGTTTAACAACAAAACTAAAAGTTTCCGAGTAATCCAAACCATACTCTAGATTAGGGGTGAGCAAGTACCGAACCGATACCGAATTTTCTCGAAAAAACCGAGAATACTGAACCGAAAAAATACCGAGAAGGAACCGAACCGTACCGAACCGAATGGTCGGTACGGTATTTGGAAACGGTACAAGGGGACGTCTCATACCGAAAATCCCGAACCGAATGTATCTACTAAAATATTATAAAAAATAATACCACGGAGTAATATTTTTATATTCTTTCACTAAATAATACTCCGTGTAAATTTTTTTAAAAAAAATTGGTTCAAGTTCTATTATGTGTAAATTACACTTTTATTTGAGTTTTAATTTTTGTGTATGAACATAAAAGTATTTACAAAGATTCAAAATACTCCTTTATTGTCGTTCATTTTTTAGTTTGTGAAATATAAACTAAATTTTGATACACGTCGCTTGCATTTAAATATTCATTTTTTTTAAATTTTTTATTTTTTATTTAAAATCAATTTTTAATTTTCAAAAATAAAGGGGCATTTTTAAATTTTAACGTGTAAAGTAGGTATGTATATTCATCCCGATTTGTACCGAAACCGATACCGAACCATCCAGAACCATACCGAACTGATATTTTGAAATCGGGATCGGTACGGAGTAAAATCCCATACCGAACCGAAATATTTGGTACGGTATTGGTACAAGCTAAATACCATACCATATTGTACCATGCTTACCCCTACTCTAGATTATATCCTTTAGCTACTAAGCGTGCTTTATAGCGTGATACAGCTGCATTATACTTCAATTTGTAAACCAACTTACAACAAATCAGAGATTGACCCAAAGGCTTTGGAACAAGTACCCATGTATTCTGTTTAATCAAGGTATAGTATTCCTCATCCCATAGTACGACGTCAAACCTCATTTTGGAGACCTCTTTAGACAATGTTGGCTCAAAAATCACGAGGTAAAGAGTGAAGAGAAGTAGAAAAAAATTTGGGTTTAAATATACCCATTTTGGCATGGGTAGTAATTGGATGAGTGCATCGAGGTGCTGGGCTGGGAAAAAGGTGTTGAGGATTGGCGGTAGGTATCGAGTGTACAACTGGACGAGGGAGCAACGGGTTGGCTAGGTTTGGTTTGGGTGATCGGCACATGTGAATAAGTGTGACACTTGGCAGGTCAAGGAAGGGGCAGGCGAGTCCGCTCTTAAAAATCGGGTGGTGGGACAGTTTGATGGTGGAGGGTAGAGGCCGGTTGAGGGGAAGGTTGGTGACGAGTGGATAGTTGTGTGTGGTCCATGTGAGCGAGACTAGATTGCACTGAAGGGAGAGTGATCTGGGAAACAAAGGAAAAACACCAAGAAAAGGATTGTGGAGAAAAGGAAGGGGAAGAGGAGACACATTCTCATTGACCTGAACATGACGAGAAATATAAACTCGATTAGTGGACGAATCATACCACTGGTAACCCTTGGACAATTGTTCAAACCTCACGAAAACACAACGTTTGGAGCATGGTTGTAGCTTATGATCAATCTCATGAGGCACTGGGGTGTTATGGAAATACAAACCCAACTAGAACTTGAAAAACAATAACAGAAGTGGACTAAAATACAAAGTCTATCATAATTAATATTGACCATAATTAATTGTCTAACAAAAAAACCAAAATAGAACTCCCACTATCCCACTTTTTAACCCAAAATAGGATTATTTTTAAAAATACATATAGGCCCAATAATAGTAGTAATCATAATAGTTCCCCTGTACCTAAATTGTCATTTTTTTGTTGAAAAAACGTACGAAATTTAATATATTTTAAATTGATTTTATTTATAAAGTATAAAAATGAATTGTACCCTTTACATATAAAAAACTACTACCTACATCAAAACTTTTACAATGCAAATGATGTATATGTGTAGGCAAATCACATTATTTTTTTGGCATTTGATTATGTTTTCGACATTATACATTGACATGTTTTACACTACTCAGTGCCATATTTATCTATATACATTATCATCTTTGCCATTGTAGTTTCAACTAGGGGTGAGCAAATTAACCGGACCGACCGCGAAACCAAAAACCGAAAACCGAAATAATCGGAAGTTCGGTTTCGGTTTCGGTTTCGGTTTTCATGTAAAAATTATTTTGGTTTTTTCGGTTTTTCGGTCGGTTTTCGGTTTTTTGGTAATAAAAACCGAACCGACCGAATAACCAATGATTTTATTTTAATTTATTTTTTATTTTTTAAAATAAGAAAATATTTGATTAACATACATGCTTTCTTTTTACTCTTTCATGAAAAACTTTAAGGTTTCACTTTTAAAAAATCTATTTGTTAATGTTTTGAACATATTAATAAGAAAAGTGCAATTTTTATATGAAATGGATAGTGTATATTCAAATAAAAATTAATCTACCTTACTAAATCAATGACAATAGAAAAGTCTTAATCTAAACTAATTTAATACATATCAATCTACCTTGCCAAATTAGTTTCTTGAATTTATATTAAAAAATCAAAATAAAAGTAATTAGAATTCGGTTTTTCGGTCGGTNTGAAAAACTTTAAGGTTTCACTTTTAAAAAATCTATTTGTTAATGTTTTGAACATATTAATAAGAAAAGTGCAATTTTTATATGAAATGGATAGTGTATATTCAAATAAAAATTAATCTACCTTACTAAATCAATGACAATAGAAAAGTCTTAATCTAAACTAATTTAATACATATCAATCTACCTTGCCAAATTAGTTTCTTGAATTTATATTAAAAAATCAAAATAAAAGTAATTAGAATTCGGTTTTTCGGTCGGTTTTTTTGATGTATGGGCGGTTTTCGGTTTCGGTTCGGTCGGTTTTAATTTATAGTCGGTTCGGTTCGGTCAGTTTTTAACCATGTTAAAAAAAAGTCGGTTTTTCGACCGAAACCGACCGTTGCTCAGCCCTAACTAATATTGCATACTAACATTTTGACACTGCAATGAGAATTTGGCAACATTGATGTAGTCTTTTTAATGGGTCTACGGGAATCTAAAAAATTAATCATGGTCATAATTTGGCGATAAAAAACATGTGGATCAACTGAACAATAATCTGTAAGCCCAAACGGTGAAAAACCCTTCGAAAAGACTCCAAAATGCCAAAAGGATACGATGCTACTCCAGAGATGCATGTTGTGTCCCATTCAAACTAAACTTATAAGCGAAATGAAAACTTCTGTTAAATATTCAGCCAACACAAATTAACTAACACATAGTTAAACAGAATGTTTGGCACTTTTCCTGTGGCGTGTCTAATTTTCAACTTCAATTCTGCTAAAGACTTTTTCACCTATAGCAGTAATTAAGTAGGAGTACTCTATAGTTCCCAACATTATCTCATTACCTAACGAAACACCTAACCTAAAGTTGTTTTCTCTTTACGTCAAGGCAAGCAAGACTTTGTCATCCCAATACAACAAACCGCACTAACCTCCCAACACCAAACAACATGTAGTCTTCATGACTTTAAAATCTGTTCAAGACCTGAACAAATCTTTGTTCCTCCAAAGCCAAAACCCAACCAAACAGGCACTAGCTAGTAAGCTCGCTTTGTTTCTCTTCTCCGCCGGCATGTCGACAGAGGACTGTGCCCACAACCACCACCATGAGCGGCGTAAGCTCTACCGCCGCCTCCTCATCGGCGTCTCCTCATCCATAGCCCTCATCCTATCCCTAGTCTTTCTCACCTGGCTCATCCTCCACCCCACCAAACCCACCTTCGTCCTCGAAGACGCCACCGTCTACGGCTTCAACCTCTCAGCTGGCCCCAACATCATCACGACCGAAATCCAAGTGACCATCGCGTCGCAAAACCCAAACGAGCGCATCGGCGTCTTCTACGACCGCGTCGACGTCTACGCCACCTACCGGGGCGAGCAAATCACCCTCCCGGCGCTCCTCCCGGAGTCGTACCAAGGCCACAAAGACGTCACTGTTTGGTCCCCGTTCCTCAGCGGCACCTCCGTCCCGGTGGCGGCATTTCTAGCCGTGGAGCTCGGCGAAGACGTGAACGCCGGGATGGTGATGATAAACATCAGAGTCGACGGATGGGTCAGGTGGAAAGTCGGGACGTTCCTCTCCGGGAGGTACCGTTTGTATGCAAACTGTCCCGCTTATTTGAGCTTCCGAGGGCAATACAGTCCAAACAGTGTTTTAGTTGGGTCAACTGCCAAGTACCAACTTGTGCAGACTTGTCATGTTGAAGTTTGAATTTCAAAAATGTTATAACATGTATTATAAGTTTCATTGAGGGTTCTAAAATTGCAACAGCCTGAGTTTGGGTTTCTGGGGTTTCATTGGGGGATGATAGATAAAGATGGATTGCAAATGTGTATGTAGCAACAAAGGAGGTTGATAATTGATATAGGTTGGTTATGTGACAAACATATATATGTTACAATATGGATGAAGGGGGGTATAATGGGGAAAGAACACTTAACTATTTATCAACTTTCTTTCCTCTTCCTATCCAGCCAGCAACAATGGGGGTAAGAGCAACCGTAGGCGGGAAACGTATGGGGGATGCGGCCTTGTGGGCCGCATAAGCTAAGGCGAACGTCCCCACCTTCTCCCCTGTCTCGTTAGTCGAAATCCCAACCTGCAAACACACATTCTTTGTTAACAGATTTGAAAAAAACATGAAAAAACGTGTATAGATTAATAGAGGCAAAACTCGCCTTGTGTAGCAGTGTTTGGACATCAACTCCAGCAGTGATGAGTGCATAACAGAGACCAAAGGAAATCAAGGAGAGAGTGATGGATGTGGCCAGGTATGCTCCTCCATATTTGGCCAATAGCTCCTTGGCTTCTTCTCCTTTTGACTTCCCTTGCTTTTCTTCATCCCCCTTTGAACTGAATATCTGTATATAGTGGTTCAGTTATATTATAGTGAGATTAATATGGGTATGTTTAGCAAACAACAGTTTACCAGTTATCAATAACTGTTAGTAGTTTGATTAGCATTTCGCCATATTTTTGAAAAACAATGTTTGGTAACTTGGGGCTTGTTCTTTTCAACCCAAACTTATTGAATGTAAGTCAACTTAAATGCACAGGAAGTTGTACTTTTATCTTCATTGAACTAAGAGAATCCCAAAAAAACACTCTTAGGGCTCATTTCGTTTAACTTCTTTCAATTGCTCCTTAATCAGCACAAACCCAACCATTATTCATATGTGGCAACATATAAGAACATATCAAAGTGTTCGTCTCACTCATAAGAACACACGTGTGCATTTTATTAAATAATTATGGTCATTGGATCGATAAATAAGTCCAAGTATGACACCTCAAATGCACAATTATCCAAATTTTTTAACATTAATTTCAAGGTGGCTTTGGACGCGGACAAGGGCGTGGCAACGGCAACCGGGGTCGTGGTCGAGGGCGCCAAAACAGCGGATCGAGACAACGGGCACAATTCCTGGAACTCACCGTACCCAAACCCTAACCCCGGGGTGTTGGGCCCCCGGCCCACTCCCACTCCCTACCCATATCATGCCCATGCCCATTATACAACCACCCCACACCCCAACCCGGCACCCCACCCGCCCATCTCCCCCTACCCGTCACCCTACCCCCCAGCCTTACGGCAGCCCCACAAACCCCCCAACCCGCAGCATACCCGCCCCCTACCCCCCACACCCACAGCCCTAGCCCACCAATTTGATACCATGTCCCTCCGTGAACCCACATGGCTTATGGATACCGGTGCTACACACCACATTGCCTCCAACCCAGGTACTCTTTCTCATGTCTCTTCTCAAGTTTTATATTC